AAGGCTAGATGTGGCCCTGCATCCCTCAGAGCTGCTGCGCAGCAGTCCTGCTCCAGCTCTTCTGTCCGAAAGCTCTGTGTGTCTCAAAGCCTGGGACAGGATGAAGGAAGCGCTCTCCCTCTGCCAGTTTGCACCTAGCAGGGTGAAGGAAGAGGCAGGGAGAGCTATAGCAGGGAAGAGCCTTTGCTTTGTCTCTCCTCTCTGCTAGGAATAAGGAGGCAGCACGGGAGACAAAAAGGGGGGAAAAGCAAGAGAGGGCACTGGGGTTATAAATGGACTGATGGGTATTTCCTTTTAATGCTGAAGCACTAACAGGGAGCAGTTTTGCTTGATGCTGAGGCACAGGAAACAGGTCAGGCACCTCAAAAAAGAGAACCCAAACCTCACTTTCTGAAACCAAAATACTCATGGCCTCCAAAGGATATTGATATGCATATTTACATTTAACTTGACCGCAACTACAAAACCTACTGGCCTCACCTGATCACAAATATTCTCAGTGCTTTTTAAAGTCAGTCTTGTAGGTATGCGATCTTTCCCACATTCCAGTACCTTAACGCTGCAGTTAACCTGTGTGCATCCTCGCTGCCCTGTCGGGATGCCCGACACGTGCCACCCATCCTGACCCCACCTCTAGTGCTGGAACAGAAGAGCAAAGTGACATGACTTCAAGCGAAGATTCAATCATAGCTCTGGCTCCTCTCAGCCTTGCTATAGCCTTTTCAATGCCTTTTGCTTGTACAAGAATGTTTTGCATTTCATGTTTCAGTTGTAGATGTGTTTTCAGAGCTTTCTCTGCCTCTTTTTGTTTGTGATTAAAGATAACTGGCCTTAGGTGACTTTGCATTAAATCCAATAACAAGCATGTTTTATTTTGTGTCTTCTACATAACAGCTTCCAAGCACCAGGACTACCTGATAATTCATCGCATACTGGGGTCATTAATTTATCCTCCCAGAGCAGAACTACTAGGAGGACATTTTTTGATTTCAAAAGGATCATTATTTTACTGCAGTAAAACTGTGGATCGCAGCTGGGTGTGGACTGGAAATGAATTTTTTTTCAGGGTGTTCATGTTTGTTTGGTTATTTGTTTGCTTTAAATATAATCCCATAGCGGTGGGTGGTACTCAGGTCATCTCCATAAACAAATGATCTGGAAAGCAACCTGGTGTTTAATTTCCTTAACCCCCCAGACCCTCCTTTGCTCATACAGCAGCACACCAATCTGAAACCTTGACTCAATATTCTGGGTAACTTGAGGGGGGTGGAGGATGAACTGTTGGTTTTCCTTTCCCACTTTTGTTAAAAGGCATCCAAGCATGGCTCTTTCTACCCTTTCTAACCTGGGTAGGTGCCAGATGGATTTTTCCTTTCTCTAGGCAATGGCTCAGGAATTTCAGCCAGCTAGAGCTGGGGCTGTGGGCTTTTCACTGGCCTTTTCACTCCAGCCTACCCTTTCTCAGCAGTTAATCCCATCTCTCTCCCCACATCCACTATCAGCTGGACCGTACAGCTCCTTGACAATCAGCTTCCAGAAGACTAAATTCTGCTTTTTCCTTCTGGAAACAAAGAGGTGTGCCTGAAAGAAAAGCTTCCAGCCACTCATGGAATAATAAATTAAAATCCTGAGGCAGCGCCTATGGGAGAAAAGCGGATGGCTGGCCAAGACAGCGTGCTGGCCTGGCTCTTTAAAAATAGATTTATATTATGTAGTTCCCAGTATTTATCATGGGTAGCTAACCTTAAGAAAACACAATTCTCAAAAAACCTGAAAAGTTCACAAGGAAAATGTGATGTCCTCATTTACTAGAGCATGTTAACCACTTTCTGTGCTCTGAAACAAACGGCATAACACACAACCTATCTGGATTTAATGCAGAAAATGAATACCCTAACTTAATCCTGTTAACTGCATCATGGCTTTCTACACCACCCAAAATCTTTGTCAGTGCTTTTCTTCATCTGCAGAACTACTGTTGTTTGGGGTTTTTTTTTGCCTAAATTATACCTATTTCTTCCTCCTACTTCCTATCAAGCTCTCTCTAGAAAAAAACAAACAAACAAACAAACAAACAAAAAAACCAAAGAGCTGAGTTGTACCTCACTAACCAAAACATCTCCTCTGAGGAGTAAGCACTGAAGAAAGCATACAATTTTAATACTGTATCTCACTATGCTTTCAAATCTCTCCAAGTACTCGTCGAGCGTGCCTGTGACCTGGGATGTTAAGATTCAGCCGGTGTAGCCCTGCTCTTGCAGGAGAGCCCTGGCAGGCAGACCCAGCAGCAGCGCTCCAGCCCCTGGATGCTGCCCGGCAGCACGCTCCCAGCGCGAGCATTTCCCAAACAGAGGAGCCTGTGCTTGTCGGAACAAACCTTGCTGGAAAATGGCAACTGAACCCTAAAGCAAAGAAAGCACTTTTGAGGCAAAGCCTCCAATTTCACCTGACAGGCTATTACAGCATTTACTCTCAACTGCACTGAGAAAACTCCAAGGATTTCCCGATTCTCAAAAGCGTAAACAAGTTTCACTTTCTCTTTCATTTAAAAAATCTCAGCTTTTCACTCAGCCAGCATCTGACTTGCACTGTTACGCTCCAGGTAAGGTTTAACCGTTGGGAAAATATTTTTTTCAGAGGAAGCAGCTGTCCCCACTCCTTTCTTTCATATCTTTTTTCCCCTCTCCCCTCCCAAGGAGACAATTCCTAGCACAAATGTAGGAATGCTGACTAGCCCTTAGGAGAAATATTCTGTCTTAATGACCAGTTCCTGTAAAATTCGCTTTATTCTCAAGCACATTTTAATATAGCACTGTTTCCCCCCAAAAAAATGTAAAAATATAGAAGGAAAACCACTACCTCTTTGTGAAACACATAACATCTTCAACAAATAACACTAGTTCTCTCACCACCAAAGCCCAGGCCCAACATCATATTTTCACTGAAAGCTCCTAAAATACATCTTTAAAGATAGCAGAGGTACGTATTCATTATTTTCTACTTTTTTTTTCACATACAAATTGAGTACAGATTACATCCCTGCCAATTTTGTTTCCAATAGCATAGGAAAAATAAAACTATGACAAATTGCTTTTATTACTTCCTTAAACAAGAACTGAAACTTGTCCAAAAAAGCATATGAAAGACTAACTTGGAGGACTTGAGCTTTTGCCAGGTACAGAAGTGATATAATAAACCAAAAACTTAAATGCATATTAATAAAGGAATAATTAACTGGGCATTAAAAGAATTCTTGATTTTAATAGCACAAAGGGGGTTAATTGGTTCACTGATGTCTTGCACTAAAAATAAAGCAGACTTTCAATCAAAATAATACATTACTTATTTTATATAATGCTGTCTCACAACTCTAGTCCTGAACTCCTCCAACACTGAGAAGCTCTGTTGACTTCAGGGGCATCTCGGTGTGCTGTGATGGCTCATCAGGCTTGATTTGACCAGTGGCACAGTAATTAAGCATGGCCTTGAAGAAACAGTTTCACTTATTTGGCACAAGAATTATGACTGCACCGGGGAATCGGTTTTTGTGTGTGTCTAGTTTCCTCCCCTTTGTAACTAACCCTGCTGCCCCTGAAACCAACAGGAACTTTGCAAGGGGTTTAAGAGGAAGCAAGATCACATCTTAAGGGTCACGTTGCTTTTTGCTGGGAAGTATTATACTGGGAACGCAATGACCTTTGCGAGTGACCTTTGTGGTTCTAAAAAGCATTGTCATTACCTAATGGGGGTGTTGGCTCAGCACAGGGGATGCCTTGGGGGTAGGAGAGCCTGTGGGTCCACGAGTGCAGGTGGGGCCAAGATGCTCTGTGCTCTGGGCAGTGCCAGGAGTGAGCACTGGCCACCACCATTGGGCTGCTGGCCTCCCATCTGGGCTCCTCTGACTAACTGCCTGAGTCTGGGGGCTGGCTTTGCCACTGCGTTACATCAGCTCAACAGCTCAACTTTGCTGGATGTTGCACCTGGGACATCAAGATTAGTGTTGGGCCCTGCATCCTCCACCACCATCCCCCTATTCTACAGTTACAATGAGAAAAGAACTGTTGTTTCAAATATAACCCCATCCTCTGACTCTCTACAAATATTTCCATTTAGCCAAACGATACATTTGACTCAAGTGCAGCCAAGAAGAAAGGCAAATGCCAGGGAGAGATCTACCCATTCATCTAAAACTCCCTTTTCAAAAGCCATGCGTGAATCTCTCTTAAATGTATTACAATTCATTCTCTGTTTACTTTAGGCAAATAGAAAAACTCATCATGGAGCACTCATTTTCACAAGCTAATCAAGAACATTAGGTCCCAACAGATTCATTTAATAGAAATATAATAGGCATTCCTTCTTGCTTTTAATCTTGCCTAGCTGCAAATGCTAAAATGAACAGCGAATTAACCCTGCCTTGGAACAGAGATCCTTTCACAGCTGATATCATCTCTCTTATGGCTTGTAAACACTCCAGGCTCCCTCTATGTGCTTTCCTGGCTTTCGCTCTTTCCCCGGAGCAGAAGAGAGGAGAACAGAGGAGTGGAGAGGATGCTTCTGCCTGCATGCAGCTAGGAAGGGAAGGAATAGGCGAGCTCTAAAGGCAGTACTGAGCATCTGCAAAATGAGATGTGGCACTGCCACCCAAAACCAAGGCAGAGCTAGAAGGTGGACAGGAGAGTGAGTTTTGGGGCGCCTCTGGGGGGGGGGGGCTTTTGTGCATCACCAGATACTCCCTGCGTGGGTCTCCCTGATTTACCATGTGAGACAAGGCCATTCACGTGCTGTCATCAAATATAAGAGATTTTTCAAGCAATTTGAGATCTTAAATTGTTCATGGATAGCAGAACTAGCATTAGAATGCTAAACAGGAGAAAAAAACCACTATCATATTTCATAATGTATGTCATAATGAACAAAAGCCTTTCAAAAAAAAAAAAAAACGGTTTTCACTGTGCTAAAGTAACAATCTAGACTTGTTGTAAGTATGTTATTCTTACAAGTAGTTCGCAGTTATTCTTGAAGGCAAGTCTTGGAGTTTCCTTAGCATAGTGCTGCTGGGGAAAATTTTCAGCATGTCCATCTTCATCTCTAGCCTGAAGGGAAATATAATGGCCTATTTAGGGACTTACAAATAATGGAAGGAAAAAAAATAGCTAAAAGCATAACAGCTCAGATCATTAAAACAGACGGGAATCCCAAAACACAACATTATTAAAAAGTTTGTTTAAATACGCAGTACATCTTTTAGATATGAAAACTTGGGATCCTGTTTTCTTACATAGCTTAGGTTGAACATGCAAATTCATTGCATTGCAAATAATTAGAACAACAAAAGACAAACCCAAAATGAAATATTTGAGCTGGAAACTGTGAGTAACTCAGGGTTTCAATTTACTCCATTGCATTTTTCAGGATTACATTACATATGTACTCATTTAAACTTTCTGACATGCTTAAGCAATCCCTAGATAAGGTACTTGTATTTTCAGTTTAACAGCAAGGCCAAAAAAAAAAAAGCTTTCATACTCATAATTTACATGTAGTACTATTATAGATAAATGGATTCCCCCTCCATGTTTAAGTGAAGTTTTGAAAGGAGCAATCATCTAGTGAGAACAATGATCCTTCAGTCAAATGCGGTCAAAATATTTAATGACAAAGATGCATTAAAAGTTAGCAGTTATTTGGAACTATACTGTTAATTAAAAAAGCTGAAGTTTAGATAGAGACATTACCAGGGCCCATTAGCAATCCTGCTTGCATATAGTATTTTTCCCTTCTCATCTACAGTGTTTTCTGCTTTTGAGTTAAAGCAAAAGGGAGAAGGCAGGTGAAAGGAGGAGTGTCAGCAATACACTCATTACACTGTTCATTTGGGTGACACTTGCACTCTGTTCCGCTCCATCTCATCTGATCCCTGAATGTTCGCTCTCTCCCTCTCGCAGCCTCCCGAAATTCACAGCTGAGCTGTCTCCCTCACATATGGCTTGCATATAATTATGCACATTCCATTTTACACTGCATTAAAATGATGAGCTCCTGGCCCCCTGCCAACCTATTTAAATCAGCCCCTGCCCGAAAAAGCCGGGGAGAGGAGGAGGGCTGGGCAGGG